TAGGATGCTAATCATTTGAACGATGTAAGAGGCAACAACTGAAAGACTTGCATGCTAAATGAACTCAAAGACCTTAGGACAACTATGAGATGTGTGATCCTATAGGAACAAATTTGCTATAAAGGCCATTATTAGGACAATTGACAAAACTGCAATATAAGCTGTAGGTAAAAGCATCAATATTAAAATTCCTGAGTTTGATAACTGTACTGTCTGGGTTACATAAGAGAATATCCTTGCTCTTGGGAAATATATACAAATATTAAGGGGTGAAATCTGCAATCTATTCTCAAATAGTTCAGAAATAAGAACTGTGGTGGGAGAGGCAAGAGGATGGGGGTAGGGAGGGGGGAAGAATGAAGGACAATGCAAATGAGATTAAAAAAAAAAAAGGGGGGGGGGGGCCCGGGTGCGGTGGCTCACACCTGTAATCCCAGCACTTTGGGAGGCCGAGGCGGGCGAATCATGAGGTCAGAAGATCGAGGCCATCCTGACTAACATGGTGAAACCCCGTCTCTACTAAAAATATAAAAAATTAGCCGGGCGCGGTGGCGGGCGCCTCTAGTCCCAGTTACTTGGGAGGCTGAGGCAGGAGAATGGCATGAACCCGGGAGGCGGAGCTTGCAGTGAGCCGAGATGGCGCCACTGCACTACTTACGGCCTAGGTGACAGAGCGAGACTCTGCCTCAAAAAAAAAAAAAAAGGTTGAGTGTGGTGGCTCACATCTGTAATCCCAGCACTCTGGGAGGCCAAAGTGGGTGGATCACGAGGTCAGGAGTTTGAGACCAGCCTGACCAACATGGTGAAACCCCGTTTCTATTAAAAATAAAAAAATTAGCCAGGCGTGGTGGTGTGCACCTGTAATCCCAACTACTCGGGAGGCTGAGGCAGGAAAATCGCTTGAATCCAGGAGGTAGAGGTTGCAGTGAGCTGAGATTGTGCCATTGCACTCCAGCCTGGGTGACAGAGAGACTCCGTCTCAAAAAAGAAAAAAAAGGCCAGGCACAGTGACTCACACCTGTAATCCCAGCACTCTGGGAGGCCGAGGCGGGCGGATCACGAGGTCAGGAGTTTGAGACCATCCTGGCTAACACGGTGAAACCCCATCTCCACTAAAAAATACAAAAAATTAGCTGGGTGTTGTGGTGCATGCCTGTAATCCCAGCTACTTGGGAGGCTGAGGCAGGAGAATCTCTTGAACCGGGGAGGCAGAGGTTGCAGTGAGCCGAGATTGTGCCAGTGTACTCCAGCCTGAGCGACAGAGCGAGACTCTGTCTCAAAAAAAAAAAAAAGAAAAGAAAAGAAAAATCTCGTGTACCCCATACCCCATAAATATATACACCTACTATGCACCCACAAAAATTAGAAAAAGAAATAAGATTACCCGCGAGTTGATAATTGTTGAAGCTGGATAGTGGATGCATGGAATTCACTGTACTATTCCCACTAGTTTTGTATGTATTTCAAATATTATTTACAAAGGGACATTTAAAAAAAGAGAGCAATTCCTCTTTCTATTGGCTGAAACAGAGTTGTTTTGTAGTCACTTCACTAACTGGTACAACCATTACAAGCTTTCTTACTCAGAGCCAAAGCTCCCAGATCAGGATGCCCTGGATTTAGGGACAATCCCCTTTACAACCGAATGCCTTTAGTAAGACCACGCCAAGCCTTGTAGAAAGTGGACTAGACCCACTTACAGTCCCAATGCCCTACAAACCAAAAAGATGAGGCAAGTGATGATACACCTGACAATGAACTAGAGAATGAATTAGGTCAGTTGCAAACATTTACAGGGAAGCATGAGGCCAGAGTGTTAAAATAAATGAGGCCAAGCCTTTATTATTTTTGTACTACTGCAAGTTCAAACCAAAATTAAAACTATAAATAACGGAATGCCAGAGATGTCTTGCTTCTTCAGACTACAGACACTCACTGCACACAAATAAATGTAAAAAAAGGATCGATGGCCGGGTGTGGTGGCTCATGCCTGTAATCCCAGCACTTTAGGAGGCTGAGGCGGGTGGATCACAAGGTCAGGAGATCAACACCATCCTGGCTAACACGGTGAAACCCCGCCTCTACTAAAAATACAAAAACTAGCTGGGCGTGGTGGTGGGCACCTGTAGTCCCAGCTACTGGGGAGGCTGAGGCGGGAGAATGGCATGAGCCGGAAGGCGGAGGTTGCAGTGAGCCAAGATCGCATCACTGCACTCCAGCCTCGACAGTGCGAGACTCCATCTCAAAAAAAAAAAAAAAAAAAAAAAGGGATCATGACAATTCTGGAGATTCGGAAAGAACTTCTGAAGTTATCTGCAAATCTGAGCTACCTGTCTTCCTTCTCACCCAGAAGCTGAACAAAGCCTAAGGAGGCTTCCTTAATCATGACTCCCTCAGACAAGACTGGTAGTTTCTGCTCAGTTTCATAAACTTGAAACTATACCTACACATGAGCTTGATGAAAATCTCAAACAAAATTTAAGTCTGTAAAACAATTTTAAAGATTCTAAAGATTCTACTTGCATTTTGAAAATCCCCAATGAAAACAGTACTCTTACCTTCTTCTGCCAACTCCTTAGTAATGATGAGTTTCCCATGGCGGAGGTAGTTTAGGATAGGACCAAAGTAGGTGGGGTCCCTGTCAATCAGATATGCCCCTGTCTCATCCTGCCAACCAAACACAAGGGTATCATTGTGGAGCTTTGAGGAGTATTTTAAACAAAGGCAGGGCAGGGTTTCACCATCTTTGTCAGTGCCCCAAGACAAGAATCCATTCCATCAGCTAAAAAAGACTTTAGTGATGGCAAGTTTTGCTACACATTTGCTTATCACAAACTACTGGTAAGAAAGCTAGCTTTATGTGTCTTGTACATTAAGATCATCTTAGGTACGGTATTACAGACAAACAGTCATACTCATTTAAGTGTTTACTTACTGGCTGGGATTCGAAATCTTTGGCTGGACAACAATTACAGTGACATTCTTCTGTAGGGTGTTTGTTATTAAGAAATGGAGAAAATGCCACAGCTGAGTAACTGAAATATTTGCTTGAGATGGACATTCTGACTTTTCCACTGCCTCTGAACTGCGTTCCTAATTCCAAGAAAACCTCTGTGTAGTTGGCAATGCTGCTGAGCTCAAGGCCAACATCAGTGGGAGTTTGCACTGCCAGCTGTAATCTCACACACCCCAGCTCTGTGCCCAGAGGAAGCTTGGTACTGCCAGGACTTGGCTCTGAGCAGCTTTAATCCTACTCATCTTTACAGTAAAAGGAACAAGAAGAAACTGGCTTCTATTACCACAAGGAGGATATAGGGTAGATAAAAATAATTCCTTTATAAGCAAAGGTTTTGAAATCTCTTTAAAGTTAGGGCAGGATAGGTTTCCATCAATCTGAGATTTCTTAGAGGAGAGGAATAAACGAAAACAAATGTTTACGCAACTCCAGCTGTGTTTTGAGGTGACCAGCTGAATGCTATACGGGATATAAGATGGTGTGAGTTATGGTCAGTGCCTTTAAGTAGCGAACTTAAAGGTGAACACGTAAAGTTAAAAAGAAATTGACACAGTTCAAACTAGAAATGGTTTAAGGGTCTTGTTACCTCTCAACCCTTTGGTTAGCAGCCATGCATCCTGCCCAAAATTTTCCCAGGAAAATTTTCATTTTCCTTCTGTCTTAGCCTAGATTTGCAGCGGTAAACGGCAACGTCTTTCCAAAAAACGCATTTGATCTAAATATAGACCTAAACCAGTGACTGTTACTAGATAAAAGTTCTGCGACCAGAACTATAGGAAAGCAGTGTGATATCACAAGAAGCGCTTCCTGCAGCTGTCGAAGCCCAACTTGTCAGAGGGGTCCGAGAGGGAGTCTGAGAAAGCTACAAGGATGCCTGAGCTCACCCTGACCCAGTTCTGGATGCATCTGGCACCGGCAGTGGGGGGCTGAAGAGGAGCCAGGGAAAACTCATGCATATCTCAGTGGGATGTCGGGGTAGAGAATATGGAGAAGGGGTGTGGAGTGCGTTCTCGTGGGTGCGGGTGGGCGCAGTGTGGGAAGGAGTCTCGAAGAACCAAGGGCGGGGTCGGGGAGAAAGTCAGACTATGCCTCAGCATGGGAGAAGGGGAGAGGGAGGTTCCTCTGAGGCCCCTGCGGGTAGTGTGGGAAGCAGGGGGAGGATGGGGGACCGCCCTGAGGGGGGCTGCCTGTGAAGAGCGTTTCTCAGGACTCTGGGGACTGATCTAGGAGAAACCAGGGGGTCCGAAGGCCGGGGGGCGCGCCCGAGGGCGGGGCACACCTTGTCTGAGTCCAGCTCCGGGTCCTCCTGGCAGCAGAGGCGGCAGAGGAATGACTTGGGCTCGCGGCCTAAGGTCTGTCTGGTGGTCACGAAGTAGGTGCCTCCCACGTTCAGCCTGACCCAGCGGGCCGCGCCGCCGCCCCCTGCCCGCTCGGGTGGTCCGGGACCCGGCTCCAGCGGCTGCGCGACGGCGGCAGCCGGGCGGCCGTGCCCGCGGGGCGTGGGGCCAGCCGGGCGTGGGCTGGGGGGCCCGCGGACTGGGCCACCCCCGTCGCCCACCCCGCTCCCGCCGCCCCCTCCTAGCCCCGCCATCGCCGGGTCCAGCTGTAGTTCCGCCATCTTGGGCCGCCGCCGCCGCCGCCGCTGCCCGCGCGCAGCCGGGCCGGCCCATTTCTCGGCAGGGAGAGTCGGGCCGGCCCATCGGCGGGGGTGGGGCAGAGGGGAGAGGGACGGGAGCGCCCCCAACCAGCGCCCGGGGACCCGCGCGGCGGAGGCACTGTGCCCGCCCCCGGGGCGAGACTTCCGGAACGAGCCCTCATCTCTATTGGCTGATCTGCGAAGCAAGGCCCACCCCCTTGGCTTTGGGGTTGGCTAAGGAAAGATCTTCCGGTGACCCACTTCCGTTATTTGCTGCGGTGGACCGTGGGCAGCCAGGGTCGGTGAAGGTGAGTGGGGCTTGGGGCGTTGGATCGGATACCTGGAGGGCTCCTCTGCTCTGCCCTCTCTAGACTTCACGCCGACCCTTGTCACGCCCCCGTCAAGAACGCCGGGCCGTCGGCTTGCCCCGCTGGCAGAGTGTTCCTTGTGTAGCTGCCGTTCCTCGCCCCGCGATCCCTTCCTCAGCCCTCCTGGGCGCGCTGGGTCAAGAGGGCCCGGCTGTGTCCTGGGCGCCGCTGATTTAGGCGCTTCCACAAGCCGTGTCTCGTGCAGTCCGCTCCCAGCGCGGCAGACTTCAATAGTTTGGTGGGCTACAATTTTTAAAATAGTTTGGTGGGGACTGGGGAAACGTTACGCAGACAGTGTTAACTTGCCGAGGGACGCTCAGCTGGCTGCGGGGCTGCGCCCTTCCCCTCCTTCCGGCGGCTTCCAGGATTCGAACGTGTAGCGCGTTCAGGGCTCCTCAGGTGCAGAGTTCAGTTACTCATTCAAGAAAGATTTATTGAGCACCTCCTATGCGCATGATCTGTTCTAGGCGCTGGGGATTAAGCAATAGATTTTTAAGAATTAAAAAAAAATGTCTCCCGGCGCGGTGGCTCACGCCTGTAATCCCAGCACTTTGGGAGGCCAAGGCGGGCGAATTACGAGGTCAGGAGTTCGAGACCAGCCAGGCCAACATGGTGAAACCCCGCCTCTACTAAAAATACAAAAAACTAGCTGGGCCTGGTGGAAGGCTCCTGTAATCCCAGCTACTCTGGAGGCTGAGGCATGAGAATCCCTGGAACCTGGGAGGCGGAGGTTGCAGAGAGCCGAGACCACACCACTGCACCCCAGCCTAGGGGACAGTGCGAGACTCTGTCTCACAAAAAAAAAAAAAAAAAAAAAAAAAATTATTTGTGGTTTCTACTTTCTACTGGTATTTAGGAAAGTCTGTAAGGGCGCTTGATTCCCTAGTAACTTTAAAGTCATATACCAATTGCCTTAACACCTCCCCTCCACAACAGGAAACAAGTTGTCCTGAGAAAGAAAGAAAGGAAGGACGGGACAGGTGTTTGACAACTTTCTTGAAGATCCTAAGATTGCTTCAGCCTCCCTTGTATTCCACTCCGAGCTTATAGAGATCTTTGACTTTGTAGTCTTTTAATATCTGACCCTGATCTTAAAAAGGACTATTTTCCTATATTCTATCTTTTTTTTTTTTTTTAAGTGGCTGTAGTCATTTTCCATATTTTTCTCACATTTTCACATGTATTGAATACCTCTTAAAATGGAGGCCTGGGCGCGGTGGCTCATGCTTGTAATCCCAGCACTTTGCAAGGCTGAGGCCGGTGGATCACCTGAGGTCAGGAGTTTCAGACTGCCCTGGCCAACAGGGAGAAACCCTGTCTCTACTAAAAATACAAAAATTAGCTGGGTGTGATGGTGGGCGCCTGTAATCCCAGCTACTCGGGAGGCTGAGGCAGGAGAATTGCTTGAGCCTGGGAGGTGGAGGTTGCAGTGAGCCGAGATGATGCCACTGCACTCCAGCCTGGGGGACAGAGTGAAACTCCATCCCCCCCCAAAAAAAAAAGTGCAGAACATGTGCTGGTGCTAGGGTATAATGCGACCTGAATAAGAACGTACAGGTATATTACCAATCTAGTTGGAAGGGGATAGAGAGCCCCTTTAAGTTTGTGTAAAACTATGGAGCAAGTTGATGAGCACAATTTCATGTGATACTTTTAACAGCCCTGGGGCAAGCAGGACTGATAATGCCCATTTTACACATAAGTAAATTGTAGCCTAGAGAGTGCTCTATGTAAAGCTTGTTGAAACTTAGGTGTCAGTTTCTGTCTACTGGAGAATCAGTGAATAAAACAATCTGGGTGGAAATGTCTTTATTAACTTTTATGCAACCTGAGTGTTATTTTTAGTAATATTTCCAGAGGTACATGGAGGGGATAAAGAGAGCTGGGCCTTTTTTTTTTTTTTTTTGAGACAGAGTCTCACTCTGTCTTCCAGGCTGGAGTGCAATGGTGCTATCTCAGCTCACTGCAGCCTTGGCCGCCTAGGTTCAAGCGATTGTCCTGTCTCAGCCTCCTGAGTACCTGGGACTACAGGTGCATGCCATCACTCCTGGCTAATTTTTCTATTTTTAGTAGAGACAGGGTTTCACCATATTGATCAGGCTGGTCTTGAACTCCTGACCTCAAGTGATCCGCCCGCCTCAGCCTCCCAAAGTGCTAGGGTTACAGACGTGAGCCACTGTGCCCAGCCTAGAGAGTTGGACTTTTAAGGCTAAATAGGAGTTGGGCGAGAATGTATTTCTTTTTTTTTTTTTTTTTTTTTTTTTTTTGAGACGGAGTCTTGCTCTGTCACCCAGGCTGGAGTGCAGTGGCCGGATCTCAGCTCACTGCAAGCTCCGCCTCCCGGGTTCCCGCCATTCTCCTGCCTCAGCCTCCTGAGTAGCTGGGACTACAGGCGCCTGCCACCTCGCCCGGCTAGTTTTTTGTATTTTTTTAGTAGAGACGGGGTTTCACCGTGTTAGCCAGGATGGTCTCGATCTCCTGACCTCGTGATCCGCCCGTCTCGGCCTCCCAAAGTGCTGGGATTACAGGCTTGAGCCACCGCGCCCGGCCGAGAATGTATTTCTATGCCAGTCTGCACACTTTGAATTTGAAAAGTCACACTGTCTTTTTCTTTTTGAGAGGAGTCTTGCTCTGTCGCCCAGGCTGGGGTGCACTGGTGCGATTCAGCTCACTACAACCTCTGCCTCCTGGGTTCAAGTGATTCTTGTGCCTCAGCCTCCAGAGTAGCTGGGATTACAGGCGTGGGCCACCACGGCTGGCTAATTATTGTATTTTTAGTAGAGATGGGGTTTTGCCATGTTGGCCATGGTGGTCTTGAACGCCTGACCTCAAGTGATCCAACTATCTTGGCCTCCCAAAGTGCTGGGATTACAGGCGTGAGCCACTATGCCTGGCTGCACACCTTGAATTAGAGAAGGTAACACTGTTTTTTTTTTTGAGATGGAGTCTTGCTGTGTCTCCCAGGCTGGAGTGCAGTGATATGATCTCAGCTCACTGCAACCTTCGCCTCCTGGGTTCAATTGATTCTTGTGAAGACTTGCATGTTTCTAAGATTTAAAGGATTCTCTCTAAGAGGTCTTATTTTGTTATTTATCATTTTTCCCAACAGAAAATTCACCTCATAAAAAAGCCTTGTTTTTATCTGACTTATTTTTCAGGATCCCAAGATGGCTGGGCGAAAACTTGCTCTAAAAACCATTGACTGGGTGGCTTTTGCGGAGATCATACCGCACAACCAAAAGGCCATTGCTAGTTCCCTGAAGTCCTGGAATGAGACCCTCACCTCCAGGTCAGTATGTTTCTGAGAGGGAACCCCATACTTGCCACTGAATCTAGAAACAAAACAGTATTAAGGAATTACATATGAATTATTGATGCCTTTCTGACAACATATAAAGAAATCCTGGTATTTTCATGATGATCCTAGAAGGGGAAAGTGTGGTTGACCCTCCAGGCCATAGGAAGAAGGGATAGGAAAATTACCATGTGAATTTTCTACTGCTTATGAACAATGCTAACTTTTGCCATTCCTTGTGGGCAGGTTGGCTGCTTTACCTGAGAATCCACCAGCTCTCGACTGGGCTTACTACAAGGCCAATGTGGCCAAGGCCGGCTTGGTGGATGACTTTGAGAAAAAGGTGGGACTTCATACCTCTAAAGCACTGAGCTTGTAACATGCCTGTGGGTGGGGAGCAGGAAGAGGGATAATTACATATGCATCATGATAGCCAGATCCCTAAGGAAGCTTAGGAAAGATGCCTATGGCCAAAGGCCTTGTGGTTGATTGAATTGTAAATAGGCACAGGAATTTAGGCTCTGTTCATTCAGCAGTACAGTGTAGCCTTAATCTGGGAGCCAGAGGGCTTTCTGATCAGCACAGGAGTTTTGACCTGCTCTGTTTCTGACCTGGATTAGTAGCTTCCAGCCTTTTGGGCTCCTGGGTGTATTGGTGACAACTCACTGTCCTTGTATTTGTAGTTTAATGCCCTGAAGATTCCTGTGCCAGAGGATAAATATACTGCCCAGGTGGATGCCGAAGAAAAAGAAGATGTAAGTAGTTGAGGCTCTTGCTTATTCTAAAATTCTCTCGATCCTGACTCTCTATTACAGCTAGGTTAAGGTAGAGTGAATTAAATGGAAAATTAAAGAGTTAACAAACATATAAAGGAATGGCTTGTCAATAAATGCAACAACATGGACGAATTTCAAAATAATTATGCTGAGTGAAAGAAGCCAACAAGAAAAAGAAGAGTATAGCATATGATTCCATCTTTATAAGACTCTAGAAAATGTAGTTAGTCTACAGTGGCTGCCTGGGGTTGGTTGAGAGGGGACTGCTGGTTTCACAGGTGGATACAAATATCAAAACTTATCAAATGGTGTTCTTTAAATATGTGCATTTTCTCATATTTCAGATATACCTCAACAAAGCTGTTAAAAACAAAGAGTTGGAATTAGAAAAATTATCCAAGTAGTATTAAAATACCTAATTATTTGCTTGAAAGCACTGAAGGCCAAACTTTGGAACTCAGTGGCTCCACCAAAGAGAAGTCTGGCTAGGTGCTCAGGTGGCGTGTCCTGACCATTCAGTGGCTGAGCCCTGTGAAAACAGGCATTCTGTAGGTCTTCCGGATGAGGAACTTGCAGAAGCAGCTGGGTGCTGCCATCCTAAGCTGGTTTTCCAGTATGGGCTTCTTTGTGAGTGTTAGTATAAGCTGTGGTTTGCCTCTCAGAGTGAGTGCCCCCAAGAGGTCAGGGTAACCACGGATTCTCCATAGAGCAATAGGACAGCAGGAGTGGATTGGGACAACTCCTACTTCAGCAGCTGCTGGGGTAGAATGCAGCCTGGTTTCAGAACTGAATTTCTCTTTCTTCTTAAAGGTGAAATCTTGTGCTGAGTGGGTGTCTCTCTCAAAGGCCAGGATTGTAGAATATGAGAAAGAGGTAAGGATGATGGGTAACCGTTGCCTATAATATCGTTTCTTTCATGGCCACCTGGTGGCAGAAACCTGCCTTGGATATTCTGCTTTCCGTCTCTGTTTACATTAACTAAACACATTTCCCCTCTTTCCAGATGGAGAGGCTAAAGAACTTAATTCCATTTGATCAGATGACCATTGAGGACTTGAACGAAGCTTTCCCAGAAACCAAATTAGACAAGAAAAAGTATCCCTATTGGCCTCACCAACCAATCGAGAATTTATAAAATTGAGTCCGGGAGGAAGCTCTGACCCTTGTATTACACATTCTGGACATTAAAAATAATAATTACACAGTTCTGGGTGTGTCTTCTTCTCTGGTTGAGATAATTAAGCCTCTCTTCTGAGGTGGCCTCACTGGCAGTGGACTTTTTATTTAAATAGAAAGGTGAGCCTAGAGAGGTTTGTTGGGCTGGTTGTCTGACAGGCTATGTAGGTGCCACTTACTGAGGCCCCAGGACTGCTGAAATGGCAACAAATAACAGTAGGTGCTATGGCAGTGTATTTCACTGTGATGTAAAGAATTGTTACATGCTGATTCTCTTCAACTTCCTCTTAGGTTTCAAACCCCTGGTTCCAAGGGAGTACTCCTGCTTGTCCATTAGTAAGTCACAAAAACAGCTGGTCCAAATGGCTAGGTGTAACAGCAGGGCTTTACTTTTCTGTGCTTCAGCTTTTGAGCACAAAAGTGGTATTAGAAAAGGAAACTTTGGTCTGGGCATGGCTCACGCCTCTAATCCCAGCACTTTGGGAGGCCCAGGTGGGTGGATCACCTGAGGTCAGGAGTTCGAGACCAGCCTGGCCAACACGGTGAAACCCCATCTCTACTAAAAATACAAAAATTTGCCGGGTGTGGTGGGGGGCACCTGTAATCCCAGCTACTTGGGAGGCTGAGGCATCTTAGTCTCAGCTTGAGGCTTGATTGAACCTGGGAGGCAGAGGTTCCTGTGAGCCAAGATTGTGCCGTTGCACTCCAGCCTGAGTGACAGAGCGAGACTTTGCCTCTAAAAAAAGGAAAACTTTTATGCTGCAAAGTTAATTTACAGCTTTTTGCATTTGAACATGGAAAATTATTTTAACTTCATAAAGTTTTAAAATCCCCACTATTTACTATGGTCAGCAGACCTCCTGAGCAATGTCAGGAAATAGAGATGGTTTAAAGCAAGGTAGTAGATCATAGAGGAATGCAAGTATTAAAAAAGAAAAAAAAGTATGGTGGTAGAAAGAGTTGTCCTTAAAGTCAGAGGACCTGTTATGCCTACCACCTAATTGCTGATTTTAGATTGTTTACTGGCTTGAGACTTTCATTTTCTCATTTACAAATATCAGGATTGTAATGAGAATTAAATGAGATAACCGGGGAAGTTTCTAGGTAAGAAAGTAGGCAAAGGCTGACTTGATGTGGCTTAAATCCTGTAGGAAAAGTCTACATAGTCTACGCAGGGGAGACGTGACATTTCTGCCATTTCTTTCTTTCTTTCTTTTTTTTCTGAGACAGAGTCTTGCTCTGTCGCCCAGGCTGGAATGCAGTGGTGCGATCTCAGCTCACTGCAACCTTCGCCTCCCGGGTTCACGCCATTCTGCCTCAGCCTCCCAAGTAGCTGGGGCTACAGGCGCCTGCCACCACGCCTGGCTAATTTTTTGTATTTTCAGTGGACACGGGGTTTCACCGGGTTAGCCAGGATGGCCTGGATCTCCTGACCTCGTGATCCGCCTGCCTCGGCCTCCCAAAGTGCTGGGATTACAGGCGTGAGCCACCGCGCCTGGCCCATTTCAGCCATTTCTGCAGGCACAGTATATACAGAAGAGCAACAGTGCCTGACAACCCTTGAGAAATCTGTGTGTCTTTAAGAACATAAGCAGAGGAGAGCCTGGGTGCGTGGCTCCTGATTGGTAGGAGTAAGGCCGGGTTGAAGATGGAAGGCAGCAGAAGGGCCGAGTCTACTCCCCGCAAAACTACTGGAGTCAACAATAAGACTGGAAAGAGATGAGGAGCAGTAGCTGTGCAAGGCCTTTAATGTGCATAAGAGAAGTACCACACCCTTCCCCTGCGAGACTGCAGTCACTGAACTGGCACTCAGCCATCTGAGGATCTGAGGATGCAGGGTGAAAGCGCAGGGATTTGAGAAAAAAATGCCTGGTTAGAGCTCGCGCTATTCAAGGAGAGCACCGAGCACCGCGGAGCCCCGTGAAGGTGTTGGGATGTGAAGGGGGCATCCCCAGCATTAGGGGGAGCTCTTTGGGAGATTCCCTGTGCTAAATAACAGTGAGCAAACAACTGGGAACAGGCTCAGCTAAAGGCACCTGAGTGGGAAGGAGGTACTTTTAGTTTTTAATGCCCTCTTGGATTGTTCAGCATTTTTGCGTTGTACATGCATTAATTTTACATTAAAAGGTAATTGGGCCGGGCGCGGTGGCTCACGCCTGTACTCCCAACACTTTCGGAGGCCCAGGCGGACAGATCACCTGAGGCTGGGAGGAGTTCGAGACCAGCCTGACCAACATGGAAAAACCCCAGTCTCTACTAAAAAAAAAACAAAAACAACAAAAAAAACCCATTAAAAATAAGCCGGGCATGGTGGTGCATGCCTGTAATCCCAGCTACTCAGGAGGCTGAGGCAGGAGAATCGCTTGAACCCAGGAGGCAGAGGCTGTGGTGAGCCAATATCGCACCATTCCACTCCAGCCTGGGCAACGAGAGCAAAACTCAGTCTCAAAAAAAAAAGTAATTATTGGCGGGCGCGGTGGCTCACACCTGTAATCCCAGCACTTTGGGAAGCCTAGGCGAGCAGATCACCCAAGGTCAGGAGTTCGAGACCAGCCTGGCCAACATGGCGAAACCCCGTCTCTACTAAAAAATAAATAAATAAATAAAAATTAGCCGGGCATGGTGGCGGGCTCCTGTAATCTCAGCTACTCAGGAGGTTGAGGCAGAAGAATGGCTTGAACCCAGGAGGCAGAGGTTGCAGTGAGCCAAGATGGCACCATTGCACTCCAGCCTGGGTGAGAGAGCAAGACTCCGCCTCAAAAAAAAAAAAAAAAAAAAAAAAAGTAGTAGTAGTAGTAGTAAAAATAGGATTACACTTTGCAAATCACTAGGAGGGGAAAAGTACATTCTATATAGCAAAAGTTACAGAATTAAATAGCATAATTACAGAATCAAACATAATTATGATGAATATGAATCAGTAAAGACCTCCTGTTAGGCAAAATTCAAACTGAGTCAACCCCATATCTAAGTACAAGCTGTCTGTCTTTGGCTAGGTTGGCTGTATCGAGATTACTCTAAAAGCTGGCATCGAAGGACAAAAATTAAGTATCCTGCCTTTCTTTCTTTTTTTTTTTTTTCAGGCGGAGTTTCCCTCTTTGTTGCCCAGGCTGGAGTGCAATGGCGCTATCTTGGCTCACTGCAACCTCCGTCTCCCGGGTTCAAGCAATTTTCCTGCCTCAGCCTCCCAAGTAGCTGGGATTACAGGCGCCTACCACCACACCCAGCTCATTTTTGTATTTTTAGTAGAGATGGGGTTTCACCATGTTGGTCAGGCTGGTCGCAAACTCCTGACCTCAGGTAATCTGCCCGCCTGGGCCTCCCAAAGTGCTGGGATTACAGGTGTGAGCCACCGTGGCCAGCCCATCCTGACTTTCTTAAACAAGTATTTACAGGATAAACAAATAGCTCAAATATACAAGTGAAAATTCTTTTTTTTGAGACAGAGTCTCCCTCTGTCACCCAGGCTGGAGTGCAGTGGCGAGATCTCGGCTCACTGCAAGCTCTGCCTCCCAGGTTCACGCCATTCTCCTGCCTCAGTCTCCTGAGTAGCTGGGACTACAGGTGCCCACCAACATGCCCAGCTAATTTTTCTGTGTTTTTAGTAGAGATGGGATTTCACTGTGTTAGCCAGGATGGTCTCGATCTCCTGATCTCGTGTTCCACCCGCCTCTGCCTCCCAAAGTGCTGGGATTACAGGTGTGAGCCACCGTGCCCGGCCTTTATAGGATCTTTTTATGTGGCTGGCCCCTTCCCATAATTTACGGCTGGACCAAATGCCCCTCCTCAACTGTTCTTCTCTCACTAGTCAAAAGTTTCCCATCACCCTCTTTCCTTTGAAATCATCTTTATTGGTTTGTTCATTGTCCCTCTCTCTCACTAGAGTGTAAGTCCCATCGAGGCAGGGCCTGGAGGGTGGTTTGTGGGGAACTGAAGCTTGAAGCCCAGAAAAGCAGTGATGGCTCTAGTGTCCAGGCTGGAGACACGCTGCTGCCACCATGTGCCAGGGCTTGGAAGCCAGAGCCAGCTTAAAAGTAGTGTCCATTCAACTTGGTGCTGGTCTTGGATGGAGAGAACAGTAAGAATTCTGGATGGCCCTGGAGAAGGGACAAGATAAGTTTGTTCTTCTGGTTTGGTTCGTTGTTTCTTTTACAAAAGTACGAGATCACATTTTTAAGTCAAAAATTTTTTTTGAATCAAGGACTTCCAAGAATCTGATGAGGCCAGGTATAGTGGCTCATACCCGTAATCCCAGCACTTTGGGAGACCAAGGTGGGAGGATTGCTTGAGCCCAGAAGTTCAAGGCGAGCCTGGGCAAAAAAGCAAGACCTTGAATCTAAAACAAATGAACAAGCAAAACCAGTGTGCAGTAGTATGTGCCTTTAGTCCCAGCTACTTGGGATTGGCAGGGAGCTGAGGCAGGAGAATTCTTTGAGCTCAGGAGTTCAAGGTTGCAGTGAGCTATGATTGCACCACTGCAGTGCAGCCTGGGTGACAGAGTGAGACTCTGTCTAAAAAAAAAAAAAAAAAAAAAAAAAAAAAAAAAGCCAGGCGCGGTGGCTCACGCCTGTAATCTCAACACTTTGGGAGGCCAAGGTGGGGAATTCGAGACTATCCTGACCAACATGGAGAAACCCTGAGGTCGGGAATTCGAGACTATCCTGACCAACATGGAGAAACCCTGTCTCTACTAAAAATACAAAATTAGCCGGGCATGCCTGTAATGCCAGCTACTCGGGAGGCTGAGGCAGGAGAATTGCTTGAACCCAGGAGGCAGAGGTTGTGATGAGCTGATACCATGCCATTGCACTCCAGCCTGAGGAACAAAAGCGAAACTCCATTTTAGAAAGAAAAAAAAAAACTGTAATCCCAGCACTTTGGGAGGCCGAGACGGGTGGATCACGAGGTCAGGAGATCGAGACCATCCTGGCTAACACGGTGAAACCCCGTCTCTACTGAAAAACAATACAAAAAACTAGCCGGGCGAGGTGGCGGGCGCCTGTAGTCCCAGCTACTTGGGAGGCTGAGGCA